GATTCAAACGCAAACAAGGAAATCCCAAATGATGAAACAGCAGCTGTGACCTTAAAAGCAGATGTAACATGCAGTTGTACGCAGTCCACGCATGTATATAGACAGATGCCTCTCAGAAACATCCAGAGCACATGCCAATGTTAAGGATTGATTTGATAAAATCTCCCATTTCGACTCTCTTGAAATGGCAAACAGCCCAATTTTATGTCCTATTTTTCCTGCGTGACTCCTAACCTCTTGTCAGACAAGCTCTCCTAAGCTTGAGTTTGAGAATATCTGTGCAGCTACTGAACTACATGCAGTCAGCTTGTTAACAAGAAATGAAGCTGGGAAGTTAGGTCACTGCTAATTAAACTCCTAATTACAAATGGAAGGTCAGACAGCAGATCCAAGGGCTGTGTGAAAATCTAATAGGACAAAAGAAAGCGCAAACTCACACGTGGTAATTCAGCCCTTACTTGGTTAGAAAACATCCCAGCTGCGTACAGTTCTGAAGGCAAATATTGAAATAAAGGTAAATCGCTTGGGTTTAAACAAGTTTGTCAAGGATTGGCACAGGCTCTAGACATTACCTAGATTTTGATTTAAAAATAAAAATTAAGAATGGCTCATTCGTAAAGTTACAACATGGATCGTGGCTCCCCAGCCTGAGCTCCAGAGTGGTCGCCATCGGCACATTTACAAGAAACGCCTTCGCTTTCGGAACATCTCGCCCCTCTGCCCACACGCTGCCCGGCCTCTGAATCGCCCCAAATCCTGAGGCCACCACTACATCGCCTTTTCTCCCTCCGTGCAAGGTGGGGCAGAGAGAAGCTGAGAAGAGCACAAGAGGCAATTTAAGCCAGAGGGCTCGGAGAAACAGCATTGAAAGTGCGAAGGGGTGCAGACGTACCAACGGCTGGAAAACGGGAGACAGCCAAGGGAGGTCCACACCGTTTTCTGCTCTCAGTCTCTTGAAGGGCCAGAAGTTTCGATGTGGGTCTCAAACTCCACGTTCTGACCCTCTCTGCTGCCCTGTCACACTGGGACAAGGGATGGGCAGCAGGACACGTGAGGAGCAAGGCAGCACGGCAAGATGGCTCAGAGAAGAGAGCCAGTGCCTGTCCCCGTTATCACGCTTCTGATGAAGCCTTTGAGGGTTTGGGAAAATTCAAGTAGAAGGAGTTTTGTTCTTTCCAAGACAGGCACATTTTTTCATGGGATCTGGGCGCCTGGACAGCACAGCACTTGGGAAGCCATTTGGGACTGAGGAAGGCTCTGTCAGGAAATACAGAAATACAGGCAGGGTATCAAAGCTGCTTAGTGCTGCGCGTCCTGCTCTGGGTATTTCACCCTTCTGCGAGCCACAGGCACTCCCTGAAACTCGTGGCAGAGTGGAAAAGCCTTATGAAATTTGCCACTACCAGCTTAAAAAAAAAATAAAATAAAAATTAGTCCCTCAGCAGCAGGCTTCCCTCTAACACACTAATTCTAAAGATTTGCCTTCCAACAGTTCAACTTTGCTTCTGTGTCTCACCAAGCCCCTTCTAATAAATATCATTTATGATTTCTTCGACACACTTGTTTTGCAGTGAAATTGTGGAGGTAACTATCACTGGGTTGACTGACACCTTGTTATTTGATCAAACATCCTCCTATTCCGCTAGTCACGGACCACACATGCCAAATTTGATGCTGAAACGACTTTTATGAGGCATTTTGGGGGAAGCTTGGGAAGAAAATCAGTCTTGCAATGAAAATCTTAACTATGTTACAGATGCTGCAGCCCTATAATACTGTTTTCTCTCCTGCTGGCAATTTAGCAGCAGCAGTACTGAACACCAGAGGACTTCTCTACGGGGGGAGAGCTAACAGCACACATTTACTAAGAGGATGGGAGGTTGGGTTTCTTAACAGTTGGAGTGCACACACATGGATTTGGTAGCTCTCAGCTGGTGAGCAAAATGTCAGCTATAACTCATTGTGCCTCTTCGGGATTTCACCTAAGTATCCCTCTCTGGGTCCATGGAAGATATAACGTGGGCAAGCCGCGTGGCAGATTTAGAAAGGCAAAAATAACCACTCCGTATGATGCTTGAAGCTAAGTCGAACTGGGAGCCGGGACACCAGCCCATGATGCATTCTATTAAGGCAGCAATCTACTTTCACAGGAAAAAAATATTTGTTCTAAATCTGACACAACATTTTATAAGATGTTTCTCTTAAAGAGTGTGAACGTGAAAATATCTTCATCACAGCTTAGAAATGGATGAAGGCTCAACAGAGTTTCCGGAGAACCTATTTCTTTACCCCATCTCCTTTCTCCGAAGGCACTGGAAGTTTTCGGTGAGAGGGGTTAGAACAGATCTCTCCCCCTCTGAGTAGCAGGATCTCAGGGACATTCTACGAACTTTGTGAGACAGCCATAGGCAAGCACGGCTCTTAACTGTCTCAGTTACAGAATCATGGAGTCACAGACTGATTTGAGTTGGAAGGGACCATAAAGACCATCTAGTCCCACCTCCTCCTGCCCCGGGCAGGGCCACCTTCCCCCAGCCCAGGTTGCCCAAAGCCCCGTCCAACCTGGCCTTGAGCCCTGCCAGGGAGGGGGCAGCCACAGCTTCTCTGGGCAGCCTGTGCCAGGGCCTCACCCCCCTCACAGGGAAGAATCTCTTCCTTCTGTCTCATCTAAATCTCCCCTCTGTCAGTTTAAAGCCGTTACCCCCCATCCTGTCCCCACACCCCCTGATCCAGAGTGTCCCTCCCCCCTTTCCCGCAGCCCCTTTTAGCCCTGGGGGGCCGCTCTAAGGTCTCCCCGCAGCCTTCTCTTCTCCAGCTGAACCCCCCAACTCTCTTACAGCCAGGCAGCTGGAGCACAGGCAGTGAACCTTATGGCAACTTGAAGTACTTCAGACATTTATGTTTTGGCACCTGAATTAGTCTGCTGGCGTTTGCAAATCACAGTAGAGTGCTGCCTTCCTTCTGCATCCTCACCTCGTACAAGCAGATGTGATACTGGGAACCCAGAAAATGGAAACTACTGTTCGGTACAGAAAGGCATTTAATGGTGATCCTTCCGCGGCCATCTCTAGCAGCAGAAAGGTGTCTGGGCTCTAAAGTCCTGAAACAACACCGAGCAATTCCTTTACCCAAATAACTTTCTCCTCAAGATTCTTAGCAATGTCTTTTCCTCTTAACAAGGGGACTCAAAACCCCTTGTACATGTTGTAATGGTTCAGCCTCTAAGGCCTCTAATAACTCATAGTTCTGGTCTTAAACCTGTGTCTTTTTTTTTGTCTTTTTTTTTTTTTTTTTTTTTTTTTTTTTCTCAGATTCCTCACTGCATTTCACCCAACTTTTGTCCTCATCTGAACTTTGCTGAGCTTTGGGAAGTGCTCAGTAGACCAAACGGACAATTTCTTCTGCCACGAAGAGAGCTTTCACAAGTTTTAAAGATCATTATTCAAGGTTTCTAGATAACTATTTCTGTCTTGGGTTTCAAGAGCAATTTATTCATTAAGCTCAACCTTATTCCCATTACAGCCAGGCCTCACAGATACTCTTCGGTAGTTTTATTCTATTTAGTTTCTCATGCTATTTCCAGAAATTACTTGCAGTTCTTATTTTTATTACCGTTAAAACCCACTTATTTTGGCCAAACTAACAGAAAACTAATTTAAAAACAAAGCTTTTTATGGTTTTGGCACTATTATTATTAGAACACTATATCCATACAAAGCATTACATTATCTGCAAGTATGCAATGACAAGTTAAAAACTGGAAATACTGTTAAACTCATGTTTATGAGAAATGCGCTTATTTATGTCCTTCTATGCAGATACCACAGAGAAGGCAAAAGCAGCTCTAAGTGCCAGCCTCAACTAAAGTGCCAATGCCTCCGTTTTAGGAGCTGAGCACAAAGATTACAGTCCCAGTTTTCCCAGTGCAACCCCAAATGAGACCTACAGAGTAACCGCGTCATTCACTCTCTAGCACATAAAGCCCTTGGCTCAGGATTTTCCTGGAGGGGAGCCTGTGTCACGCTGCCTGTCCTCTGGCCACCTCTCCACTCCATAGCCATCCCCTCAGACATGAGACACCAGGCTCTGGTCCTGTCAGCACCGACCGCAGAAGATCAACGGCCCTCCCACCACACCATGCCGGCACGAAGGTGGAAATTTTGTTTGTCTTTTAAGAGAACAAATGAAAACATTCTTTAGCTTTTAAATTTTCTGAAGAAAACCAAATCACACATGCACACAAATTGTCACCAAACAACCAGCAGTTCTCTGGAGCTGCTCAGAGTCTTGGTTTATTGAAATTATTCTCGTTGGGTATGGATTAGTCGGCAAACGGCAGGGGAAAGAAGTCAAAGGTGCAAGATAAATTGGGTTTGTTACTGAAGCTGTAATTTATCATCACAATATTGCCAACACAACTGTAGAGAATTAGATATAAATTTAATAAAACAACTGCTGTATTACATCTATTATCCTGGAGTCAGGTCCAGTTATCTTTTCCTCCTTGAGAAGAAGCTTTTTCTCCAAATAATGCCACTGAATCTGGCCATTTATACATATACATATATATATATATATATATGAAACCAGCAGTGTATATCAAAATATTGATAACATAAACCTACACATTGAAAGTGGGAAGTGAAATGTTATATAGTTCCCTAAAGGTGGCAGTCCCTCTGATGTTCAACAAAGAAATAATGACAGCTGAAGCAGCGAGAGCTGTAGTTAAGCAAAATTCATGTAAACATGAAAGACCTGTCTTCTGGAAAAAAAATACACAATTAAAGTGCCATTGTCCTCTCCGTGCACCTGTCAAAACTGCTTGGGAGTTGCTGGAGTGAAGGTGAAGAGGGGAGAGAAGAGAAAAGCAGCTACTGCAAATAAGCAAAGTATTTTGTTAGAGAGTTATCTCCTTCTTGCAAGAACGAGTGCTCAAATGGATAATACCTTTCTGTGAAATCCAGGTTTCCAGCCTCACGTTAAGAAGCGGCTCTTACCTTATGGGATTATCCATCCTTGATACTGTGAGAAACGCTGCTAAGTTGGCTGTGTAGGAAGAGCACACGATAAGGGTGAAGAGCCACCAGCTTCCCATTACGATGCGCATGGCCACGGAGTTGACGGTAGATTCGCTCCCTACACACGAACAGAGGAAATGAGGGTCCCTCAGTAGCTTCCATCTACGATCACCCTCCGTGTGCCCTGTCATGTTAAACTTCGTTGGAGCTGCCCCTCCGTATTTCTGCTTCCCCTCCAGACCACCCTTTCACTATAAGAAAAACATGGATTCTGTTAAAACTGGTAATTCACACTGTCTCCAGTCAGCCTCTTGCCCTGAACACTGCTCTAGAAAACCATCTTTCAAAATATTTCCCTTGGGAATTAGTGAAGAGCAAATCTACAGAACATGAAAAATATCCTAAATAAATAAAGTGTAATGGTGAAGTATGACTAACATACAGGAATTCAATCATCACAATATTCAGGATATAGTAATATTCTCCTTTCAGTGACCATTTTAGATTTGGAAAAAACCCCACAGAGCTGTCCAATGGTTTGTGTTCTATCTGTGCTGTATTTAAATCTGCAAAGACTGAAGCATTGGTGTCATTACTTGTCGCTCCACAGCATTTCAAACAACGTGAAGATTTCCTTCCAGCTGGCTTCAAGCACAGTTATGCTTGAGCATTGTTGGAGACCAAACCTCACCATACAGCTGGTGCTAGTCGCTTCAGTGTGTGTCTGTGCTGATTGCAGCCTACTGTACTTAAACTCATCAAGGATGCCACCCAAATGAGACAAGGGACAAAGTTTCATAGCGACAGCAAGGATTTTCCAGCTGAAGCTTTATAAGCTCGCAATCACAATGATAAAAAAAAAAAGTAAAAAAAAGTTAACAACGTACCCATACGTTAGCCTTCAACAGAACCTGCCTCCCAAGAATAGTACTAAAATTATCGATACGGGGCAACAACGGTGTGGGCAGAGTTTGCGATCCTTTACAGAAGTCATTTTAATGGTAGCGATCTTACTGAATTCAGAAGGATTAGTCCTACGCCTAGAGATTCCTGAGCGTAAAGTTAGTTACGTGACTACAAATCATTTTCCTAGTCAGTTCAAAGAACCGAAAGATAAACTGTCTCACGTGAGTTCAAAAAAGTACAAATTTCTCAAATAAAATTTAAACATTTAAATGTTTAAATTTTAATGTTTAAATTAAAACATTTAAATGTTTAAATTTAAAACATTTAAATGTTTAAATTTAATTTATAAGTTAAAATTAAAACATTTAAATGTTTAAATTCAATTTAAAAGTTTAAATTTAAATATTTAAATGCTCGAATTCAAACATTTAAATGCTCGAATTCAATTTAAATGTTTAAATTAAATGAAAACATTTAAATGCTTAAATTTAATCTAAATGCTTAAATTAAAACATTTAAATGTTTAAATGTAATTTAAATTTTAAATTTAAACTAGGAAAGGTGCTAGTTTCAGAGGTGGAGAAGTGGTGTAATTCTGCACCAAGCCCCTCTGTACTTTATCATTACGTGATAATTTTCCCAAAGTGGAGAAGCCTGTTGTGAGTTTTTCTGGACTTACGGAGAGACAGAAAACCAGAACGCACCCCCCTCGCCCCAAACTTACCCACCTCTTCCCATTTTTCATCAGCTGGGCTAAGGAAACATATTACCTCCCCGTATGAGCCTCCTCTTTCACCTTTAGACTGTTCTGGCCAAGACTAACAAGGTCCTGAGCTGCTTTACCCCAGGCAGAACGTTCCTGAACGTCCGTCAGTGTGCTCACAAGAGAGAGGGTACCTTGCTGAACGAAGGCGCCGTACACGACCCAGATGGCACTGTGGAGGCTGGAGGAAGCAGAGGGGCTCTGCTGGGAAGCGTTCTGTGCCCTGACTGCCTGGATCCGGTTCAAGACAAAGATCAAGACCCCGACAATGGGGATGGCGGCAGCAATGCAAGCCCACACCGCAAAGTCGAAAGGAGCGAAGAGAGAGAAGATGTTGATTTTCTCTTCAGGCTTTTTGATTAATATCCCCACGGAATAGTCCATGTAGCGCTTGCTGAAGTCCACCACGCTCTCTCGTTCTGGTGTTATGGTGATGGCCGAGATGGCCAGGTCTGCTCTCTGCGAGACAAAAGCGACACGTCACATCTCTTCCTTTCACCAGGAATTTGGCCAGCGTAAGCTTTAAGGAGAAACTTTTTTAAGAACCGAAGGACTCCATGCATTTCTTTCCATAAATTAACACATTCAGACAAATTTAAATAAATTGTCTAAAAAATAAAACCAGAATCATTAACATTAGGTAGCACAGTGGTAAAACAGAACCTGTCAACGTGCTCTGGAACAAAAAGCCTCACCCTGGCTCCTCTCTGGAACAAGTGCAACTTATTTAACCTTTATCCCTCACTTGTTTTCCAAAGGATGCCTAAAACTCCAAACCCTATTAACCTGCTGCACTGTAAGGAATAAAAAAGAAACACCATTTCTTCCGCTTGTGTATTTGATATCTTGTCCTCCCTGCAGAGCTGCCAACTTCCCATATTCATGAAGGGATCTCATATGACAACTGGGGGGAAGATTTAGTTTGAGTTTTGTGTTGGTTTTTTTTTTTTTTTACAATGAATAGAGCGACTGCAAAAACTAGTAACTGGAAGAACGGACCAAAGGCAACTTCGCTCCTGAAAATTCTTTGACCTCAATATTTAAAGAGAGTAGGTTTTACCCATGGAGCGTCCTTGAAGAGTATCCAAACTTCATGAAAGATAAAACAGGAGTTTTCTTTTATCTTCATGAAAGATAAAACAGTTAATAAATAAGGTGCCCCAAGATTTTCAAGAGCTGCAGTTAGATTTTGAATATTTTTTCTATTAATAAAACCCTCTATCTACCTTCAAAAAATAAAGTGTACTTTTCGTTTCCTGTCTCGACACTTTGTGGGGAAAGTAAAGCGTATGCTAGGTGAGGGAGGTCTGCGTTGAAATCCTTCGGCATCAGTGAAGAGCTAGTAGCAGAAATGCCATAATTAAAGAAGTATCATAATAGATACTTTGTTTCTTCAAAGAAAGCAATTTCCAAAGGAACCTAACAGGATTTCTTACCGCATTTTCAAATCAGTGAAATTCAAACAGCTTGTGTCATTGTAAAATAGGTCGAAAATTCTTTATATTTCCTGCCACCAACCAGAAATGTCCCATTACCATACACACACCTGCTATTGCTTTAATTGCTTCTGTTTCTTCCTAAACATCTACTTACCAGATACTGAGCCGCCTATTTACTAGATAATGAGACAGCTTTCACGTTCAGTAATAACTCCACCGCAGAAGAGTAACCTTTTCTACGAAGGGCAGCAACACGGAATATTAATTCCTTTGATTCTCCTTCTTGACTAACATTTGTCCCATGTCAGATAGAGAGAACACGAACAAAACACGCTCCAATTTAACTCTCTGGGGGATTCTAAGCTACGAGCTCTCCCCATTTACCTCAATGGAGTTCAATTAACTTATTCCTGATTTGCAAGACTGTAATTACGGAAATAAATTTGGTCCTCTCTGGTTTAAATGAATGAATAATCTTGAGGTCAGTTTAAATTCTGGTCCTTCAAAACACTTCTGTACGGTATGGTACTAGGGACGGCTTTTCTTGGGTTTAGAGTCAAACGGTTGATCATTATCAAGCACATTTGCCACAAAGTGACCCCAAATAAAGTTACACCTACAAAGTAGCAAAGACCTAATGACAAAAATTAAAATAATAGTCATTTATATTTTAAGAATAAATTATTTTTTCTCTATTTTCTATAGTCATTCACTCACGCACACATACGTATCCTCTCTTCTTTCAGCTGGGTAACCACAGAGATTTACACTGAAATAACTGACGTTGAGAACAGTTGGGCGTAAATAGAACAACAGACTCCTTAGTTCCTATCCTGTATACGGTTACAGAGTTGACACCACACTCAAACCAGAAGCGTTCTGCACTGGTGCTTTCATCCTACTTCATTCTCTTGTAATATGGAATGGAGGAAATAGAGAATTTAAGCAACACCCTTATAAAGCTTTGACGCCCTACTCTGAAGAGCTTCGCTGGTGGTTTGTTTGGGTTTTTTTTAAAAAAATGCAGCTTTTCCTCTGTGTACCTTGTTAATGAGTTCTCCAATCATGCCGTTCCAGGAGCTGTTCTGGAGCTGCTGTCCATATTTGCCGTCAGGAGCTTGATATATCTCATACTTGAAGCCCAGATTCTTGGCAAGTGCATCCAGGACATCAATGGAAAACCCTTTATATCGTTTTGGTTGCCCAAGGATGTTCTCCGCTACCATCACAAAAGGTTCTTCCTGAGAAGAAAAGAGTATCTTAACTGATACTTGAAACAAGTTTTTTTAGACTGCTTCTCTTAGCAAAAGGATGTTTCCTCAGTTAATTCTGGACAACTTGACACTGATTTTGAGGCAAAACCTCCTCAGGCAAAAACTGTAGGCCATGCAGCATGCTAGGAGGCGTCCCAACGAGACACCACTTCTTCAGCACCTGAGCCATGTGTTTTCCACAATTCTTGAGAAGAGGCAGAGACTCCAGAAGACAATTCCACCACCTCCAGCACCTTCCTGGTGCCCACAGGTTGAATTGCTGTCTGAAGTACCTGCCTCTTCTCACGGACTATAAAGGAGGCGCAGATGCTTGCTTGCCTTAGTGTCCTGACCAGCTGTCTAAAATACAGATGTTAAGAATGTAGGAGTTGTAGATAGGAACATTACTTCTGACCATCTATCTCAGACCAAACCATATTCAGAAAGCCATCTTTTACAGAAAACCATTAATCTTCTCTCCAGGAGACATACTAAAACAAGCTAAAAATGCTGCATTTTGTGAAAAACTGAAAATTTTGAAAATTCAGAGAATAACCCTCATGGTTCCTGGAGTATTTTAAAATAAAGTATGGTACTGCATTTTATGGTGTGTTTTCTGTCAGGCATGGGCATCCTGCTCGGGAACACTGGGGGCTTTTGGTGGCCCGGCAACATGACACTGGCTGCCTTTGAAACCTGGTATTGAGTCTCGTGGAAGGAATCTGCTCACCTCCCATGTGAGCCACTGCACAGCCTTACCCGGCCCAGGCAGAGGGGCTGGGCAGAGTGCCTCAACGCTCCTATGTGGCACTTCCTATTTGTAGCATGATTCAGAAAAACGAGAAATAAAAAAAACACAAGAAGACGGCACGTCCTGCAGTCGGCAAACTACAATAATTTAGGAGTTAATGCATTCAAGCCTTAATTTGCCCCTAAATTTAGCGTGTAGCTGACAGGAGCTCTGCTACCACTCTGGATACTAAGGGACAGCCGTCCCAAAAGCATAACGATTTTTTTTTGAGAGACTACGCTTTTCTAAAAGGTACAGTTTATCTCAAAGGGAATTTCTGAGTTTGATAGAGAAACACTTGATTAAATTTTACAGCCTGCAGTGTACAAGAGTCCAGATTAGATTATCATAACTGGCCCATCCGATCTTCAAATCCATGAAATGCTGGAACCTGCAGATTCAGGTCAGAGTACGGGATGTGGGACGCAGCCCTGTGCACTCAGGCCCTGTGCTGGTTCCACGCCCCATAGGAATTACAGTGAGAAATCCAGCACAAGCAAACAAACAAACGCTCCGTATCTCTGACGGTGCATGGCTTCATGTCAAATGATAAAAGCCCGGCGTCTCTCTTCCTTATGTAAATGATCATCCAAAAATACAGAACTGAAAATGATAGGGGGAAAATACCAAAGGAAGCGCCCAAAACACTCAGGTCCTTTTAATTTTGAGCGTTTTGTTTCCCAAACTCAAATAGGATCCTACCAAGACAGTCACCACTTTGAGTGTCAGTCCTTGTAAGTCATTGCCCAGGCGTCGTTCTTGTAGGCTCCCGTTCAGTCCTTTCTCAGAGTCCCACGTTGCCAGCTAGAACAGAAAGTACAGTGAGTCTGAAGGACTATTAGGCAGGAATCTTGCAGTATTTACATAAAAACGTTTAACAGTAGCTTGACTGAATCCAGGACTGATATTTTTTTTTTTTTTTTTTAATGCAGAATCAGAATTCGTGAGTTTCAGAGGACAGACATAAGGAAGTACCTTGCCTGAATGTATTTTCACCAATGCCTGTAACGTAACTCCTCTCTTATCTGTAGCATTTGTCGTATCATTCCACTTAGATCACTCTGAGCCTGCATTTCTCCCCAGTAAGTTTATATTGCCTGACAGTCCTCAGGATAATCTGTGGTCTCACTGTCCCATATTTCCCTCTCTGCTCAGATCCCCTCCTACTTTTCAAATAATTTCCTACTGCTTATCAAAGACCGACCTTTTTTTTTTTTCCCCCACTGCACAACGTTTTCTCTCACTGATAGTCATAAACTCTTCACACAGATTCTATGGTGTCAAACCGTCTCCTCTTCTTTCTCGGACTTTCTTCAGATCCTATCTGAAGTCCTATTCTCTCTGTTCTTGCCCTACGTCTACCTCATCAATAAAACAACAACAGACTCTCAAATTTTCAGGCTCCTGATACTCAAATATCTCACATCCACCAGTGTTTCATCCATCTGCTAGGTGCACCTGGATGCATATTTTCAGGATATCTCCCTGGAACATTACATCTAAATATTTTATTTTTCAATTAAATTTATCGCTTTAAAAATCAATTTTACTGCATTTCCTGAAGAGAAATGCAGTAAGATTCGATAGAATGGGTTCAATTGGTCCAACCCAAACCATTCCATGATTCTATAGAAAAAGTCAATCTTAAGTGACCATTGGATTATTCAAACTAAATATGCTCTTCAGCAGCAGTCAGACACTCCTTCCGCCTTCAAACATAATCCAAGGTGTCATTTCCTTCAGAACAGTCATAAATAGTATCCAGTAGAAACTGTTTCCTCCTTTTTTTTTTTTTTTCAGCTCTACTCTTCAACACCAATACTATGCTCACCTATGTGGAAGCAGGGCTGTTACCTGAAGGCATGCCCTGTAGAAATTAAACACAGTCCAAGATCTGTGAAATGTGGCTTCTTCCTGCCAGAAGCTAATATTCATGTTAACAAGTCAAAACCTTCTTGGAAAGAATTTCACTAAAAATGCCTATAGCTAGATGTCCTACATGATTTATTTCTGTGAATTCAGTTTTATCCTAAAGCCTCAAAAATCAAACCGATGAATAAAATGTGATAGGAGAGATCTGTATAGTTTTATTTTTGTTTTGTGGCGCTAAAGTGATGAACAGGGAACTAGGAAAGAATGGGACATTCAGTGACTGTTCAGCCACCAGAACTATCGCAACTGGTGGAAGTTATTAGTTATTCTATCGCGACTAATTCTTCAAAGCTGAGGCACAGGAAAGAATTAAGCTACCCCTCTCCTTTCATCCAGATGCCCTGGAGGATGGAAGAGGAGAATGACTGAATAATATTCAAATTCCTAATGACACTTCTGAAAGCTAAAGTATCTCAAATTGAAAATTCTCCCCCTGTGATGCCAGCTTGGAGTGACAGATGAACTACCTATGGTTTCTTTTAAATTCGAATTTAGATGCTTGCTCTGAATTATGTCCGGATGTTTCTTTGCTTTTGCTGTTGCCAAACCAAACTGATGAATTTGTCATCTGACATGAATCAGTGTGGTTCAGCAGACTGGCACAGGGGGGTGTGTGGTATAGACTGTGTCTCAACTCTGTAAAGAAAGTTCACTGTCTAAGCCTTCTTCAGCTGTCCTGTGCAGCAGGTGTATGATGAAGATACACCAAAGGTTTTGGCCAGAGTGGCTTGTACAATCTACGGAGGATGATTAAATATTTATTAAATGTAACGCATGCGTTTATTACTTCACCGCTGGTGGACTGACATTTCTTCTCCCACTCATTTTCTTTTCCGCAAAGTCTATCCGATTTCATGGCGAGGCCTTAAGACTTTTCGAAAAACCCTAAGCTTCACCTTTTGCATTAATTCTAAGAATTCCAAAAAGGAACCGGAGACATGCCAGTCCATAACCCATAAATTTATTCCTTTTATTCAAAAAGAGCAAGACAAAAGATTCCTCTTTTCTGCAGTAAGGGTAGGGAGGATATCTCACTTCAGCACAGACCTCCACAGCGTTCTCTACGGAGGCACAAACTTTTCGGTCGCTAAAAAACAAACCATGCCGATAAAGTTGATAAATGGAATACGAGGGAAACCATTTCCAGAAGGGATTTTTCCCGTGCATCCTTGTGCTTCGGAACATTTGTTCGGAAGTGTGCAAATTTTAACTTGCCCTCCTTGCAGACAGAATATCGTTTATAGGACCGATGTATTTACAGATACGTCTATCAATTTGTGACAACTGACCTGTCAAGATCAGTGCCTGCAAAAGTAATTTCCAGCACCGTTAAACGCAGTGAGTACTGCTGTTATTTGATAAGGCTGTTAGAGTTTCATTCTTTGTAGAAATATGTTCCATGTCCCTACCAGAAGTCTGAAGCCAAAGGTTACAGCACAGCCATCAGCTGATAGGAGATAAAGGGCTTTTAGATCTGACTGTGACAAACAACTGCTTGAAGAATCAGAACTTGTAGGATGTATTTCAAAAATCAATGGCCTCTGGAACATATATTTAATGGCACTCTGGTGGGGGCTTTTCAACTTACACCTTCCTAGATTCTCTTTCTGAAATAGCCATATTGCTGGGAATCCTACAGTTCTAGCCATGCATCAGAAGCTCAACCATCCAATAAAGGCAAATCAGAGGAAACAAATGTGGAAAAAAAAAAAAAAAAAAAAAAAAAAAAAAAAAAGCAATTTGTTGGAAAATTCTAGCTCAAAACATGATTCTGATCTTTATCAATATTTACTGCATTTTCAACCAGAGCTACAAGAAAAAGATTGGGGAGAGAAAGACACAATTCTAACATTGTTTTCAACCTCCACAAGGAATATATAGCTACACACACACACACTCAACACAGAAGCAAAACAATTACTTGGCTAGACAACCTGGGAACGTCAAATGATAACGGGTGTCATCCAAAGCGCGCCCGTTGAAACTCCTGTTCAGGACTTTGTCGTGAATGGTTACCGATAGATATGTCGGGACCTCAAAGAAAAATTGATGTAAGTGTAACTTTAGGGTTCCTGAGTTTCCACTGATAAATTAGAAGTCAAATTCTACAAAGGAATTTCATGACTTTGTTAATGATGCAGCTGATGGCTGCCCAACACTTGGGCGATTACTTCTCGAAGGAAAATCAGACTGAGATGTCACGGTAAACACACCAGAGAATATCAGACACAATTCCACAACAGTGTGAAGACCCTCATCAGCACAAGGCGGCAGACGATCCTTCTGCTCGGATAAATCAAGGCTGGATGTACGAAACACTGATTTGCAAGATTTACTACCGCCTGTGAACTTGACCAACTAGACTGAGAACACGGGTGCCGCTCCCTTTAGGAGACGAAACTGATGTTAAACTCAGTTGTTTGTTGCACATCTGCTGGTCTGCAAACTCTGCACGTTGCTGCCACTCTATCGCACAGTGATTACACGCGCCTGGAAGGAGGAACGGGAATTGAGTTTTCTTAACTCTGCTGTGAACAGTCAGACCACTGGACTATGGCAAATTTCTGTCTCGGGCCAAAAAAAATGGAGACAAAAATTATCCCAAACTACTAATAAATACAGGTGAAAACTGACATTGACATAAAAAGTGAACATTAGTGTTTCTATCACAAAAGTGAGCAAGATCATCTACGCTACTTTAGTTTATGGTGCAGCAGTTACTGTCCAAATAACGCATGTCAGTGCTATCTAACATCATTTTTAAGTATGATGCCATCCTAAACATGATTTACTTTTCAGAGAAAAATGCGATTTCCAGAAGAAATAACACAAGATAACTTTCAGCAGAGGTGTAGTACCGTTTGAAATGGGCTACAATCAATCCAGAGCGTGCTGCTTCTATCTTACCAAACCCTGAAAAGTTTTAACCGGTGACTCCTTTGGAGCTAAGTTCACACTCTCCAAAGAAATGAAACTTGGGAGTCCCCGCCTTAAGGTTACACTATCCAAAGAAATTAAATTTGGGGGTTCCTGACTTGAAAACTGAAAAACTTCTTGACGGGGAACTGAAGAGAGCGCAAGGCAGGCAGTGAGACTGCCAGGAGACAGCCACACCTGTGCCAACCCAGAGCACATTTTCTGTGAATATGAAAGCTGTTCTGTCCATGGAGTTAAGGATATTAATCCATGCCACTCACAATCTGAGAATGCTTTTAGATTAAAGTTGAATTGAAATGGATTTCACTTCAATGTTGACTTGTTTCTTTAATTGAAGCATGCAATCTGGCTAAACACTTACTGAAACATTTAACGGTATAAAAGCATATTTTAAGCAAACATAATAATCAAACAGAACCCAAGTAAACAAAATCTAAACAACAACAACAAAAAATCTTTACAGAAGACAAATACAAAATAAGGCAGCGGCCCATTAAATAAACAGAGTAACTTGGACACTCCTCTCACAATTCTAAGGAATGACAAGAATTCTATTTAAATAGCAAGTAAAACATTTACATTTAAGTCCCCAATTCTTTTTTAAAGGCAGTGGATCAGTAATCTAGAGGATTTGCTGTCATTCAGTATCATTCACAACACGGTATTAGCAGGACTCACACATTGGAGTCTGTGTCATTCTTAAGGAACTGTGACAGGATTCCCCAAAACATCATTTCCATTTTTATGACTGGAGTTGCCCTGAAGGTAGCAAAATCTTTTCATTTGACATATGGGACTATAATTAAGAATTTAAGCTACATTCTGTGGTCCAGCATAATTCAACCTTGTCTGCGGTGAAATACCTGCAAGTCATCTATATCCAGATATTTAGTCTATCCTGATATATTCTGCATTTGTTTGCATTAAGGACGTAG